CGCCGCTGGAGTGCAGTTCGATGCCGTGGACGGCCTCGACGCCGTAGAAGCCGTACCACGTGACGCTCTGCGCCCGCGCGGTTGGGCGCGATGCACTGGTTGGCCCGGATGGTCGATACGAGGCCGAGCGACGCGCCCGAGCAGTTGGGGCCCGCGAACCACTGGACAAAGCCGACTTGCGCGCTGGCAGACGCGGCAAGGGCGAGGGTGACGAAGGCGGCGGTGAATTGCATGGTGCTGACGAGCAGGTAAGTATGCGCGGACCGGGCGGAGGGCTACTGCCAGTGGCGCTGACCTTTGTGGGTGTGTGGAAACGTAGAGAGTGTTGGATACACCGCGTCTTCCCAGCGCGGTTTTATGAACCACGCCGGTCCACGCGGGAGCGCTTCCGAGATCGTGTCAGCATGCGTATGTACCCTTTGATTGTAGTATGTACGCGTGCACGGGTCGTCATACTCTAAATGCTTTGTTTGTCAGGGGAACCCCCGCTTCGGCCGAGCGCATCCGAGGCGCATCCAAGCGGCACCCCCTCGGATGCTCCGACCTACCCCGACCCTCATCCTTAGCCTCCTTTGCCTGCACAATCACTGATCCGTCAAGACCCTCCCAACGATCATCTTGGGACAGAGCCTGCGACACCGCTCAGGCCTTCTGCGCCCTACGTCGGCAGTTACGGACGACCAGTATCTAGTTGGCGCTCTAGCAGGCGGACCCTTCGAGTTTCTTCTCTTTGGATCCTCCCCTGCTAGGTCAGTCCCTCCGTGTATTTCCGTAGCTTTTATTCACGCTTTGGATCCTCCCCTATTTCTGTTTCTCCCCTGCTAGGCTTTCGTCGGAGTCTCCAGGGTTGCCCTTATTTGAATATATTCTGAATATAATCGAAGATATATTCAAGATTATGAATACAATAACATTACTGTAGTAATTTATTCAATTCGGCGCCCCAAAATGGTGTGACATCGGCGCCGAAATTAAATTTTCGGCGCTGCCTGTCGATGTGTGTGACAGCCGAAATTTTCCGGCCTATTTAGCGGCCCGGAGGGCCGCAAATTTTTTTTTATGCTGTGATGGGCATTTGACATTTGGCATCTGGCTGTGGGCCCGTGACACGCTGAAATATTTCGGCGCCAGAGGGCCGGTGTGACACGTGTCACGGTTCGGGTCGGGCCGTCCGGGCCATAAGGCCGCACGGGCCCGTATACCGCCGTCCTCCTGGACGTCCCCTCATTCTTCCAACCCCTTCCGTTCACCCCTACGGCCCTACGCAGCGCCCATCCGATCCGCCCTGGGACCTGGCGCCCATCCGATCCATCCCTAATACCGTAGCGTATAAAAGTCGTACTTACAAGATGTAGTCGCTAGGCTAATATCGTCTATTCTCCGGGCGAATACCCATCTCTCGTGCTCCTCAGACCCCTTCGAAGTCGGACCCCCCGACGCCCCGATACGGCCCAAGCCCGACGTTGACAACACGTGACTGCCGAATTGAATAAATTGCTACAGTATACCCCCAAGTTCTAGGGAGTGGCATGGATAGACCCTTGGGTATGTGAGACTTTATCTGTATCCATATTCGTGGTGGCTGTGTACCCATATCCATGGATAAGGATACAGATATACCCATGGATTGGAGAAGATATTTAAAGTTTTATCAAAGTAGTACATCTTGGGCTCATCATTTGTTTATTGCACACTTGTAAGAGAACAGAAAGAAAATTTTAATCTAAAATTTTAATCTAATAGACACTTCAGTTATTATGGGTGAGAAGCAACGCGGACTTGAGCCAAGCTCCTGGGCGCATGTCAGACTGCGGGTCAGGCCGTGCAAGGATCTCTCCCAAGAACACGCGCCCGGAACAGAACAGACAGATAGTCGGGCCCACAAGTATGGCGGGCGGGGTAGATCGAAACCGAAAGGGCCCGTGAACTCGGTCCCTTGTTGCTATCGGTGGTCGAAGGTTCGAATCGGGTCGTGTCGGGCCCGATGAGTCGATAACGCCTCTCTCCTTGCACGGAGTAAGGTAGTTCTTCAGACAATCTAAGCAATAGAGTACAGGGTACACTATCACGTCTTATATATGCGGGCCCGCAAAGGGGGTGATCGGACACCCTGGCCTCTCCTGCTCCTCCTCGCCCCTGATCCTGGCCGCAGAGGGGACGATTGTACATCCCTTGCGGGCCAGGCGCTACTCCTAACCTCCTAGCACTCCTCCCCAGTCCCCTTGTGTCGAGTTGGGCTCGGCGACGGCTTGACACGTCGTTCTCGGTCACGTGCTTCCCACGTGTGCGTTCCTCCTACTGGGGTGCATGTTCCCCGTCGTCATGTGCTGCATGCTATGGGCCCGCAATAGCCCGACACCAGCGCCGAAGCGGACGGGCCGGGTCTTATCCGTGACAGCGCAACACAGAAGCTTCAAAGGAGTGGAAGGATGGTGCCTGTGTGCAAGTGGCCAAGCACAGCTTTCGTCAGCAGTCACACTCGCATCATGTCACTCTGCCCAAGACAGCAGACTTCATTTGCAAGCTCACAAGTCTTTCATAAAATGTTTCTATGCCTATGTACCATCAAGCCAATATGTAATAACATCTGTTTGAGGCTGCTGGAGTATATTTTCCCCCCCCATTGACCCTCATACTTTCAAGTGTTCACTTATCCATGGGTATCATGGATATGGAAAGTTCTATCTGTATCCGTATCCATACGGATAAAATCTGTGTATCTGCGTGGATTGCACCTATCTGTACCATTCCCTACCCCCAACAATATGAATATATTGTGGATATGAATATATCATGCAAAACATGTATGCATAATCACACGGTACTATGGCTTATGTTTTCATTCAATTACTGTAGCATTTTATTCAATTCGGCGCCCAAAATGGGTGTGACATTGGCGCCGAAATGAAATTTTCGGCGTCCGGGGGCTCTACGCGTGACCGCCGGAAATTTTCGGCACATTACGGCGCGGCCCGCAGGGCCGCGCCAACTAGAAATGGTAGATCGGCCAAGGGAATTCAGCGTTTGGGCTGTCGAGTGTGACCGCCGAAAAAATTTCGGCATTTCAAGGCCGGTGTGACGCGTGACCGCCGAATTGAATAAAATGCTACAGTATGTTACCCATTTCTTTAAGGGTGAACATGTGAACAATGATTGGAATTTGCAAAAAGTCAAATGCACTTCAGAGCTTCGAACCCTGGCCAGCCAAATATATGCACTGGTTGGCAGTGGTTAGCACAGAATAAAACAATGCATCAGGAAAAGAAAAACAAGGAATCAACCCTGTCTTATGTGTAGTGCTCATGTTGTGAGAAGCAAGTGTCAACTCCAGGGTTTGCTGAAAAATGTAGGCACTCCATGCCCAGTGAAAAATGTAACTGGAGGCAATGAACTATGCCTGAAATGTCTCAAATCTATGGATTTTCTTGATTTTCAGGGCACAACACACAATGACACTCACGACTAATATTATTGAAGAAACATGGTTGCACTAGAGCTTATTAGCTGCTGGAAAAAACACGTTTTTTTTCTTTCTATTTCCCTTCTATCTTCCTTCCAAAAATTTGAGGGGTGGAGCGGATTTTCTTGAGAGTTTTGCTATCAGCCGCTCGGCCCGCTCCTGTCATCCGAATATGGGGCGACCGGCGCTGACGCCGGTGATGCTGCTGAATCACTCGACAGCTTTTGTCTCTCCCCAGCAGCATGCGTTGCCCAGAGGCATGTGACATAGCAGACTCCGTCAGACGGGAGGCATGAGGGAATTAACAGGAGAGCATTGGCCTCTGTCAACATCACGTTACCGCTCTACGGCCGGCCACCCTGCGGCGCATTTTCTTTCCAAATTTTCCTAGTGGAGCAATGAAACACTTGGATTTCCTTTAGATCTACACGCTATTTTTTGTTAAATCTGAGGCTGCTAATAAGCTCTACTAACCACTTAGATTCTCTGATAAAATGAGAGAGAAAATAGTTTTGTCAGTCTCAAGTCTGCCATTGCATCATGAATTCACAGTGATCATAGTCCAAAGCAAGAGGTAAACAGACGAAACGCTCGATGATTTGTACCTAAATGCACACACGGGTACAGCTACGAGCTCTGTTACTAGTCCATCTCCGCCGCGGCCGCTCAGAACGGCGGCTCGGGGAGGTCGATCTCGGGGAGGGTCGTATCGGTGGGGTTGCTCACGCTGATGCGGACGCTCCGCCAGGTGTTCCTGCGCTCGCGTCAGCACGATAACGACACACTTATACGCGCAGCACGCACCCGTCGGGCGCGTTCTTGCAGCCGGTCTCGCCGTCGAAGCCCTCGCGGTGGCCCGTGCAGCCGTCGCCGACGAAGACCTCGGAGCCGCCCTTCTGGAGCTCGCGCCAGCCGAGACTGTTGACGCCGTTCCCGAGGGGGACGCACTCCCAGATGTCGCCGGTGTTGCGGTAGTGCGATTTGAAGATGTTCCCGCAGTCTCTGCCGGCGGCCCCGTGGATCTCAAGGGCATTGCTGGACGCCGCCGCGAGGCAGAGCGCGAGGAGCGCAGCGAGGTTCTTGAGACTATACATCGTTCTGTCTGCGGCGTAAGTATCGGTGCGCGGGGAGGAGGGAAGCGCCGCGCCGTGTGGGTACTAGTAGTTTGACTTGAGTCTTGAAGTGCGAGTCAGGCCGCCTCTTTATACTCAGGCGACCTGCCGGAGAAACCGCATTTGCAAATCGCGCTCCACCTATTCAGCACAGCACTGGCAACGCTAAGTCCCGGTCCCTAAGCGGACAAATTAGTCCAGGGCCAACGCGGGCTTCACGGAGATTTGGCGTCCGCGGCAGGACAAATACGGACCAAGGTCGCCACCGCAAGATGTTGGTTTGTGCGGAAGAACGCATGAGCAACGGCCCAGAATACAGCGTCATGTACATTCATGTATTCAATGGGGATTTCAGCGACAGTGGACACTAGCAGACTCACAAATACAGACACAACAGCGAACAAGAAAACTCTTCAAAGCCATATGCCTCACGCCTCTCCCTTTACCTGCTGTACACCGACGGTCGGGTTCTCGTACTCGCCCTCCGCGTCGCGGTCCAGCGCGTCATGCGCAGCTTCGACATTTCGGCCATTCGGCAGGGCTGGGCCCGCAACTGGCAGCGGCGCGTGTGCTGGGACGGTGTAGCCTGCAGCTGGGGCGGTGGGGTACCCGCCAGCCTGGACCTGGGCATGGGGCGCAGCGGACGGGTCGACGGGGCGGAAAACGCGTTTGTGGGGGAACTGTTCGGGGCGGGGGCGCGAATGCGTGCGCTCAAAGAGGCCGCACTTGTTGCAGAGCTGGGGGGTCGGTCAGTCGTGGCGATTCGGAGGGAGGGCGAGAGAGAGAGGGAAGGAGGTGGAGAAAAGACGGTGGATTGCAGAGGATCATGGAGGACTCACCACCTTGCCCGGACTCAGCGTGCTCCGGCGCCACGTGCTCGTGTCCGTCGTGCAGCAGTTGAAGCAGCGGCGGCGCACCAGCGGGCCGAGCTTCGCCGCGACGTCGTCCGTCGTCACCACCGGCCCGCTCTGCACGGGGCCACCGCCAACGGCACCACCAGCGGGGGCCTGGCCGGGGGCGATGGGCGGGTAAGGCATGTACGCGTAGGGGTGTGGAATCGGGACGCCGCGCTCGTCATAAGTGGGGTAAGCACCGTTAGGTGGGGGCGGGTGGGCGTAGATGAAGACGGGGTACGGGAAGCGCGGGTCGTGTACGAACTGCGGGGGCGCTGTTACTGGCGGTGGGGTGTCGGTGCCTGGCGCTGGCGCTGGCGCTGGCGCTGGTGACGTGGCAGGCCCCACAAGCGTAGCGATCGATGGCAACGACAGCGCCTTCACCATCCCCGGCTTCGGGCCCTTCTCCCCTCCCTCCTCCCCGCCCTTCAAGTTCTCCTCCTTCGCGCGCGCAAAGTTGCTATACGCCGCCGGGTCCACGCTCGGGTCTCTGTCTGTCGCGGGTGTTTCGCGCAAGGGGCTGCGGTTGGCGCTGCATCGTCGGCGTGGTCAGCGGTCAGGAGCAGGAGGCGTAAGCGCTGCCACGCACCTCTCAGCCATCGTTGACGGGGATGATGATCAGGATGGGATCACGGAAAGCGAAAAGATGGGGCGCGGAGGGAAAAGTGTGACTATCGACGTGACGGCTGACGCGACGATGACGTGCTCTTCTGGAACCTTCTGTTCCTTGAGGCAGTCGCGGCCGCACGAGCACAGAAGCGCTGGCCGCACAGGGCATAAGGCTCCATACTGGTGATAGGAAGCGTGGCACTGACAGTGCCCTTTCTGTCGGTGACGCAGATTCGGCGCATTTTAGCGAGTGTGATATCGATCGCGGAATCACCACGAGGTAGCACAGCCTCGGTATCTTCGCAGAAACACATCTTGCTTTTGACCACCATCTTGCTTTCCCGTCCAACTTCTCCTCCATGTTGCACAATAAAGAACGTGCTTGACACCATTTCTAACCAATCTCAAACTTCCCCTAGCTCCGCAAGCAGCAAAGAAATGACCAGCCGGTGTGCAGATTCAATAGGACCAGCAGCAGCCCTAGGAATGTTCAACCATGCAAGCAACTTCACAATCACTGGTGGCACTTTCAATATTGGGCACTCAATGTCTTATCTATGACGGTATTTATCGCTGTAAACTGGTTTAAGGCTGAGTGCGCAAAAAAAGTTGGATCAGAGAATGTTATTTTGTGGTTCATGTGACTGTACTTGGTGGTTTTAGGCGAACTGATCACACCTTAACCTCTTTTGGGGGGTTTTGTCTTGAAATGTGGGATTATTTCTTTGAGTATTATTCTTTATAGAAAGACATTTTTGCAACATCAGAATATTATTTATTGTGGCCAGCCAGCAGTGTCACAAGGGTCCTTTGGTGTGACCGAGTTCGAGTTCAAGTCTTCAGTGTGACAAGTGTTTGTTTGTGTGACATCACACCATTCTCTTTATTCGTTCATTCGTTCGCCTTCAAACCTCTAATCAAGTCATTCTTGTGTGTTGAGACATTAAGAAACACTGTTGGCACTTGCTAATATATTTGCTATAGTTCTTTTCTGGCCTTTCATCGATGGAGATGGAGCATTATCAGCATTACTTGCGCTTTCTGCAGTTTGAAGCAGAAAATTCTCCGACCCAAGCTTCCTCCTCAGCTCCATCTGAAGCATCTCCCACAGTGGCAGTAACCCCAACAGCCCCAACAGCGCTATTGTCTGCGCCACCCATTATTCCCTACCGCCCTATGGCAGCAGCTATTCCACCACCGACTCAACCAACACCTCAACCACTCCCAACACCTCAACCACTCGCTCAACCACCACCAACCCAACCGCTCACTAGTGGCAATACTGCACCTGCAACATCTCCTCCGCTATCATTACCAGAATCCATTCCGACTTCGTCTATTCCTGCATCAGCCATTGGCCATCCAGCTATTCCACCTCTGCCTAGCGGTCTAACTCATCATCCAACATTGTTTGCAGCCAGCAGCCCAATGGCAATGATCACTGCAGCACCAGCGCTCGCAGTTGGCATGTCCTCTAACCAGAACACTCTTCGTTCTCACCATAATGTGGTGTCCAATTTAACCCAAAGCGAAATCTCAACGGCAAATGGTGGCAGAACTGCAGCTATCCATCATCATTTCCCCCCAAACCACACCGCTCCCGCTCGTCATATGCAATTCTAGAAGTAGAGCAGCAGGGACAACTTCTTCTTCCTCAACATCGAGCACAACACGTGCTAGCCGTCGTCGTGGTGCTGCACAAGCACCCCCTTCAACAACTCAGGCAACTCAGGCTGCATTGTCACAAGCTTCAGTCGCACATATCACCCAATCGATCTTCTCATTTCAAGGACAGGCGCGCTTCGTAAACCTCGATGTTCAAGTACAACTACCAGCAGTATGTCTTTGCCACCTAATTTATCTCACATAATTCTAACATCAATTTAGCGGCAATATATGCTTTTTCATAATCTCCTTCGCTCATTCCAGACCAGAGCCACCAGGGAAGATTATCAAGACACATAACCATCCTGCTGGTGTAGCTATTCAAGCAAGAATTATACCAGTGATAGCAGATCTTCTAGCTGCTCGTGAAGCCACAGGCTTTCTATCTCATGCTGCCAAGCAATACTGCTGGGCTTGCCTCTTAACGTCAGATGAAAATCATCGTCTTGATCATGAAAACTGGATTTCTCGTACTGCAAGCACTGTGCGAAAAGCAGTGAAAGAGTGGCTAAAAGAAACAACTATTGCAGGACGTAATGCTAAAGCAACAGAAACTGGGGTGCGGGCATCAGCATTACACCGTTTGAAGTATTGGGACCCAGTTAAGCATACTATTCTGGGTTATATGCACAATTGGCTTGAGGGTGTTCTGAAGTTTCAACTTCGTGTTATCTGGGGTATTGGACACACAGATGAAAAAGAAAAAGAACTAGTAAAAATCATGGACTTAGAGTTCTACCAAGGGCAGGATCAGGCGGAGACTGCAAGTGAAGCTAGTGATCTTCAAAATGACCCCTTTGCAGATGGTGATAGCCTTCAGGAACTACGGAGAGCACTTTCTATATCAGAAGCAGGATCTACACCCCAGTCTCCGGCAGTGTTACCTACCCATCTAAGTGCAGATGACTTTCCCTCTGGACCTGACATAAATGATATGGAAATTGATCAAGATGATCATGAGTCAGTATCAGCCATCAATACATCACAAAACAGTTTGGCTTCCTCAGAAAATACTTCAGATGATGAAGATGATAATCAAACAGAGATTCCATCTGATGATGATGATGACCCAGAGTGGCAAGATATTGCTGTTTATGGAAACTTCAAGCTCTCCAAGCATGTTATCTCAAAAATTCAAACATGTATCAAGGAGGTACTGCTACCTACCCATGTAACCAGATTGCCCTACAATCTAGGAGAGAAGAAGCATGGAAAACTCAAAGCTGATCAGTATCTTACTCTATTTAGTTTGATCCTCCCCCTTGTGATTCCTGAAATAGCTCTTTCTGAGCATGAAGGAATTGATGAAGCTATGCATTCAGGTTTCTATCATCTGGTTGCAGCTACAAATATAATCTCATCTTTTGGCATCTCTGCACCTGAAATTGACCAATATGTTTATCACTTTACTGGTTGGAGGGAGGTTACCCAACAAACCTTTCCTGATATCAATGAACCTCCAAATGTTCATTTTGCATATCATAATGCAAGCCAGGCCAGATACTGGGGCCCTCCTGCAGGCTTGAGTGAATTTTGGGGAGAACGTATGAATGGTGGACTACAGAAAATCAATACCAACAAACGTTTATGTAGACTCTATTATTTTTTAGATATAAAAAATTTAATCTTTTAACAGCTGATATGGACCTGACTATGCTTCGGCAAATGGCTCGTAGTTCTCGTGTTTTAGCTTCTCTGCACAATCAGGACTTCAAAAGTCCCCAATTACAGGAAATGGCTAGCATATTAGGTTCTACCTCTGTCTATGTTAGATCACCTGCTGAACTGGATGAGGATCAGCTTGCAACTTATTTAGCTCAAGCCCCACCAATGTCCTCTCAAGAGTACAAACTTATCCTTAATTATCTCAATGCCAATAATGCAGGCTATCTGGATGACCGTATAGTGCCATCTGTGGAGCAGAGAAATATGACACTGCCACCTAATGCCAAGCCTCTACGTCAGTATAAGGAGAAGGAGGTGACCTATAGCTGTGTTTCTTCTCATAAAAGCAACTGTCTCATCCAATACTATCTTCCCAATGGTGATCAGAAGACAAATACCGATACAGGTCAAATTGAGAAAATTCTAGAAGTTCCTCTACATGGATTTCTGAGGAAATTCATTCTAGTGCGGCCTCACAAACATTTAGATATCAGCTCTACACCCTTTGGAGACCATCCCTGGTTAATGACCAGTATTGTGGCCACAGAGCCATATAAGAAATTGCTTCTTATAGAGCCTAAACATATTATCACACACCTCTCTGCCTGGGTTCGTCCTTCAGGAATATATTCCAACATTCCAGGAAAATCAATGATAATCTGTTGGGCGCTCAACCGTGATCGAAGATAAAAACTCTTTATAGGGCACTGTATTATGAATATATTTATTGATTTCTTTTTGTGGTGAGAAATTAACATATCAGAAAGTATCATGAGATTTATAGCTATTTTACATAAGTGCTTTCCACAGATGCAGTATAAGTAGTAAATCTGTGCTGGGCTAAGTACAGTCAAAAGAACCTTCCCAAATTCAAAATTGGCGCCAGTGCTGGCCTGCCCTGTGGCAGGCACGGGCATGGAGGGAAGCTTCCCCCAGGAACCCAGCTGCAGTGCTAGCGGCGTCCACGCCGAATTTCAACGCACAGCGCAGCGGGACTGGTGAACCTGAGGTGAAGCTATCAAACTTAAACTTAGAGGTTGCGGGCAGACCCGGCCATCGCCGTCGGATGCTTCCGAAAGATTGCTTGAGAGCTTCTGCGTGCAGGCGACCTAGCGGGGGCCTTAATTCCCGGACAATCACGAACTTGACTCGTGAGATGGGGGGTGCAGCAAGTATCGAGGCGGGGAGCAGCTTCTGCACATCCGAGTCCGATCCGACCCCTATGTTACGAGACCTCCGACCTAGGCGCTGACGCGCGCACAGCCTTGCGCGTCCAAGGTCAGGTTGGTGAAGCGGTTGGCGGCAGCCGGGACTGATCACTGCAAGCGACGGGAATCGTGAGCGGCAGGCGGCGGAAGGCCGATCGCAAGGTGTGTCCTTCTGACCTGGGAACAATAGCGCAGAGACTCCCAGACTTGCACCAAAATACCGGCATCAAATACGCGCATGTGCACGCCGTTGACGCCAAGGGGTCGTTCGCCGGGGGGCTGGGGGCCGCGCAAGGCACCTACGCACATCTCAGCCGCAAAGACTGCATCGGGCAAGCGCGGAACGCGACCGATGATGGCGCTGCCGTCGCCAAGTCCCAATCCGAGCGGCCGCGGGTCGAACGGTGGTGACAGTGACACGGACTCCACGCCGTGAGGAGAGCTGGCCCGACGGCCGAACGACGAATCTGGCGGATAAGCGTTGTGGTAGGTCAATGGTAGGTGAATGTAATTATAATCATATTTAATCATAATCATATTTTCATGGATGATTATGGAGAAGGCATATTATAATCATATTTAATTGAAACTTCTTCTCATCAAAGCCCCGTGCGTTTGTCATGCCGCGCATCGGAAGCCGGCTCATTAAGGACACCCGCAAAAGGTCGGCAAATTGTTTGATTACCGTGCTGATGAATGTGATTTATTTCTTTCACCTATGTTGCGACTGCCATCGAACCGCCGTCAGGCCGCCACCTTTGCCCCCAGTGTTCCCACGGATGCTGCAAATGCAGGTATTAGTTTTGAAGCCTAAATTACCCGCAGGTAGAGTACAGGTATTTATCCGTGACACTCGTGAGAAGCCTTAAGCTGGAGGCACCGGAGCGGGGGCGCGGGCCGCGGGTGGCACGACCGGAGCCACCGGGCGGAAGGGGGCCGGAGCCGGGATGCGGTTGACCGGAAACAGAGTCCGAATCAAACCGCCAGGCGTCTTGGGGGCGGCTGACTTGATCAGCTTGGCCCGGACCAGGGCCTCATATTGACGGAAGGCCCGGGTGCGCCAGCTAAGGTAATCCCGGAGGTCCGGGGGGTCGTTCGAGGACGTGATTCCGTTGTTGATCAAGGGGTCAAGTCCGTGGCGGAACTTGGTCACCTTGACCAGCGCGTCTTCGAATCCGGCAAGGTCTATCAGGTCCTCGAAGTCGTCGGTGTGGAAGTGTAGAGTGGCCTACAGGTCGCTTTTCCTTTTATGGTAGTTACCGCTTTGGGCTGCCATCATCAACATTTGATGTGGCTATTTGTTTGTAGCTTACATGATTTTAATAATAACTTCTCCTGACCCGAACCGTCACCAAGTTCGCAACCAGTGTCGAAATAGCTCCACCGAGGGCAGGTTGCCAGTGAACACCAAGTATCCAAGCCGCAGATTCTTGCCCTAGTCGAGTCCCGAAGCCTCTGAGCCCAGCTACACAACTGGAGTGAGTGTTTGCAAATTTACATTCATTTTCCTTTCCACTTCTACACGAATTCTTCCCCTCATTTCCCTCCGAATTCTCTCCCTTCGTGCACCCCAATCCCGGACAATCGACCACAAATTCTGTCGAACTCTAGGCCAGCCTTTACTTCCTCATCGGTGTACTGGTAGACATCCTTTGTGCCCATGTGATAAGCGGAAGTCTCCAGCTTGGAGAGAGCGTGATCTTGCTCGTTCTCCTCGATGAACCGGAGTCGAAACTCGGAAACGAACGAGCCCCAGGACAGAAACGGAAACGGGGCTTTGCTTCCGTGGCGCTCCGCCCATTGCTGAGCGGGTCCTTCTGCCATAAACGACATGGCATAGCGGACAGCCTTTTCCTCGCTCGCCTCTCCGTTGACCGCGAAGGCCTCAGGGGCAAGGCGGGCGTAGGTGCGGACCGCGTAAAGGAACGTGCGGCCGCATTTCCGGTCGCCGTTGAAGGTGAACGGCGGGTTTGGTCGCAAGACCAATTTTGAGGCGAGGTTGATGTCGCCAAAAAGGGCTTCGGAGTCGCCCTGGACCGGAGTCGGAGTCGGAATCGACGTCTCCGGCGAAGGTGTTTGGGGTCCGCCAGCATTATTAGCGGCGGCAGCGGCAGCGGAAGCCTTTTGGTGAGTAAAGCAAGGGCCTCAGTTAGGCTATCAATTTTCGCCTCGAGTGAGTCCAGCTGGGCGTCTGCGGTAGGAGTGACTCCGGACGGCATGACGGGTGCGGGGACCACAGGAGTAGAGGAGGAGGGGACAAGTGGCAGGGGCGGTGACGAGGGCGGAACGGACTCGTACTCCGAGCCTGAGTCAGCGCCGAACCTGGCAATCTTGTCCGGTTGATCCTGTAGAGAGTTTCTTCTGCTGTAAGGGCAACCCCGGAGGCCTGAGATCAAGGTCCTAGCAGGGGAGGATCCAAAGAGAAGAAACTCTAAGGGTCCGCCTGCTAGGTAGCTGACTATATACTGCTTGTCCGTAGCTGCCGCTGTCGGGCACAGAAGGCTTGGGCGGCGTCGCAGGTGAGGTCCCAGGGCGACCGTCGGGAGGGCGTTGACGGATTGGTGATTGTGCGGGCGAGATGGAGGGCCAGACCGGAGTCAGAACCGGAGTCGGACCGGAATCGGGCGCGTCTCCGGGCCGAAAGGGAGGTTCCCCTGACAACCACTCCAAGGGTTGAAATGATGCAGAAAGCATTCTCATTTCTTTCTGATGAGTTTCATGTCTACAGAGGTAATAGGTTTGTCACAAACACAGAGTACGCTGTTTTAATACATTTTTTACTGCCCAGAATTTATATCCATATAGGATACCAGACACTACAACTCATTCATCACTCTACTGGGGAGATTCTACAGCACTAGAAGACAAACCACACTTTTGGATATATCCAAGGATGAAAGATCGGATGATACACCTGCAACACCATTGGCTCAGAATGGCATCTCAACTAGAAACTCACAGTGGAGTAGATTGTAAGCTTCTATTTATATTATTTGATATTCATACCAAGGAATTTAGTCTTTGCATCAGAGGTGGCATTTCGGAGAATGCAAGGAATACATCATGATCCATTTCAACTGGCTGGTACTTTTATGGCTTCAGCCCCAGATGAACCAGTCTATTTTCAGAAAGTCACACCAACTTATCAATTTCTGGATGAGGGATTATGGTGCCCTGTGCCAGAAAGTTCTGACCTGGACTACTTTTCATTTGATCTGGAAGGGACTCAGAAGATTCCTATTCCAACTATCTATGGCCTTCCTGACACTCGAGTGGACTGTGTTGTCCAGGGGCCCATTTGGACAAGTCATGATTACAGCATTCTGAAACAATTCTATACTATGCACAATCTCAAGGAGGATCTCTCAAAATTGCAGAGTGGTATGAAATGGGAGAGGAATGTACCATTAACAGCTAATTTCACTAGGCAGTATGCTCCTTTTCCAATGGTATATATCAATAGACTTACATTATCAATAGTGATCCTCCCCAAACATCCACTCTCCGGGTTAGTGAATATCCACGCCTGTGGCAATTTCTGAAGAACGATTGTTATTGACATGATGAGGGATCAGAAAGTCTCTTGGGAAGAAGTCAGTTTCTGGGGTGTCTTATGTCAGCTGTGTATTAAGTGCTTAGATGTAAGAATGTAAAGAATCTTTAAACTAAGGCTGTCAGTCCCAGCCATAACTGACCAAGCACTCTGAGTCTCAGCAAGAGCCTAGACAGGCCATTGCAAATACACAAATATCATCATTTATGAAAAAAATTGATATATTATATTTCTTGCTTCTGGAAATATGAATCTAAATGTGTACATTTCATACATGTTGTTGGGTGAGGAGTTGATATTTGAGAGGAGGAATATGGCTCTACTCTCCTAGCACTTGCACTTGCACTTGCACTTGCACTTGCACTTGCACTTACACTTAAAGAAATCCAACTGATGTGATGGTGGTGGTGTCACAATCAGGGGACACAGATTGTATTGGGTTGAAACTTTCCCATCTAAACCTAACTGATGTGATGCTGGTAGCTGTCACAATCAGGAGGTCCACCAGGGGTTCCTTGTTATTCTATCTAATTTACAGGGCTCCTTACATACTGCTCTGGAAATAATTATGTAATGTGTGACAGTGTGACTTGATCCGCTGATCCGTCTCTAGAATGTTCTAGTCCTGACTTCTGGAATGTTCTAATATTCTACCTGGTTCAGAGTTGCCAAATACAGACATGTTACCACTTATTTGGTTCAGTTTCTAGACCGGGTCCATATCTAGAATTGGTCCAGAACGGTGTAGACCGCTTGGCTGGTCCCTTCTGGAATAGATCTAAAGTCTAGAACAATTCTACTGGAAGTTCTATATATATGGCATGATTATTGTGCTTCAAAATAAATTTATAGAGCCCTCCTGGCATTATTCACTGGTTGTCATATTGCCGGAGCTGGCGCATTCTCCAAGTGCCGGACGATCCCAGCCCAGAGATCTTTCGCCTCGCCCACGTCGATGTCTTCGAATCGAACATTCTCCTTCGCGCTCCGGACGACCCGACAATCGTCGGTGTGATCGATTGGCAAGGAGCACGCGTCCTCCCGCGCTGGGACGAGCGTTCCGGTCTAAATCTTACTATGCTCTCGCTGGATCTTCCGGAAGAAGACAGAATCCGCTTGAAGGCCGTCTAAGCACCCCGACTTGGGCTTCCTGTGGCAGCCACTGTTTGGCTTTCTTGAGAGCAGACCCACATGGACCGCTGACAAGGCCATGATGCAGAATTTCATACATGGATGGTTGCTCCCGGACGAACTGGACAGGCTTTTCACTGGGTTGCGTACGCTGTCCTGATGTATTAGGATGCGGTTGGACTAGGTGGTCAGTCCAGCAAGCCCACAATTCTGGCTTAAATACCAGTTTTTCAAAGGTGAAAAAACACACACTTGGTTGATAAACAAGTTCAGAAGACTACGAAAGTTTCAAGTCATAAATGATGGAGGATTAGATGTTTGGTGATCTGAGGCCCGTAGTCATGGCATACCCCACCATTCCTCGCTACTCAAGGGCCTTTGAGCAAATGTAGGGTCGCGCTCGGTTCCCTCGAGCGTGGAGTACTCCCATCGGGGCCCAACGGACTGCCATGCATCCTGCTTCACAATCCGCAGCTTCAGATATGGGCAATCCGCAAGCGCTGCCGGGATGTCGAGGGGGACGTCAAGGCCGGGCGTGCGCAAGAAATGGCCGCGGAACTCGGTTAGGCGGGTGATCCCTGATTCGGAGGGTAGGTCGACGGTGCGAGCTCGTAGCAGGCGTACGACAAGCGCGTCCGACATACATCGCACATTGGTGATCTCGAGGCGGCGCAAGGCGGGACAGAGGGTGCTATCGAGGTCCGGCAGTACCCGGGTGAGGTACTCGTCGTCCTTCATCGGAGATCCGGCATGCTGTTTCGGCTCTCCATTCAGTTGCAGTCGCTCAAGGGCGGGGACGAGCCGGAGGGCGGCGGCAAGCATATCGGTGCTCATGTCTTCAATCGAGAGCATGAGGTGGCGGATGTGGCCAATGTGCTGGAGAATTTTACTTGCGGTGAGGTCCTGGGCGATCAGCGCAGTGTGTAGGATTGGGGCGTTGATGATAGCAATAGCGGGTGACACGTCAACACCCCGCTCAAAAACGCCAATATTGAGTGTGGTTAACCTCGGCAGTGCAAAGCCCGCGGCGTCCTGGGGAATCAGAGGCCGGCCGCGGTCCATGCTGACGGCTAGGCTCTCGAGCGAAACACAGTGGGGCAGGAAGGGGAATGGCAACGCAATCGCCGTCTCTTGCATGGTGACTTGAATGTCCAGCGACACAAGATTGTGCCATGCAATGTTCTCGGGAAACAGTGGCACACGGCCCTCGGTAGTCAGGTGGCGCAGACTGGGTGTGGCCAAGAATGGGAGCTGTACATCGCGGACTGGGGAGAGATCCATCCTGCGAAGTTGTGGTACATCGTGAGCCTGGAGCTCTGACAGGGCCCACTCATCACTGACTCGGAAATTGTGAAGCGACAGCTTCATGTCCCGCCAACGCGAAGCAGCCGCGAGAAGCACGGCGAACAGCGGTGATAGCTGAGTATCGATCATATCTGGCGCTTCTTCAATGTGTGGATGCCGCGACAGATACAGAGAAGCATCCAACGGCGCTGCCGCACCCCTATGAAGCCACCGAGCTAAGTTTTCCGCCACCGGTCCGGCGCGTGGGTGAGCTACAGGTGGAACGACGATGTGAATTGAGGACCACAGCTTCGGCATCGCCAGAGCCAAGTCCCGCCAATATCTGCACACCCGCGAAAGCAACAGCGGGCTCTCACTCGGATGCATCGCCGCGCCCCGATTTTCCGGGAGCGTTTCGAGGAAGACAAGGCGCAAGATTTCCTCTGGCACCCGCCGCATGGGCGCCACCAGCGCCGTATGGGCATCGATGAAGTCTCGAAGTTCATTGCGCTTCGAGTTGACCGTGTTCAGCAAGTCTTGCAGGCGGACGGCCTCCGCGTCGAGCTCGCCGAGCTTTGCGGTTTGCGACGCGAGAAGGGCGTGGATCGCGTCGCATTCCGCGTCGGTGGGCGCGGTGTTCGTATGGAGCATCGTCTTGAAAGGAGACTCATCCATTTGCATGTCTACACATGTTCGGGTCAGCGGCCCATCGTACGCTTTGGACTTACTGCTAGTCAGCGCGAGTCGAGATGGTGGGCGAAGGCAACGTGAAGCGATTGATATCATGCTTCTTTTTCCCGATTCCCCTTAGGGCTCGTTCGGTAACGAGAAACCAGCGCGGTTTCTCGACAGAAACCAGTTTCTCAGCAGAAACTGAGCTTCTGAGCACCGACAGTGTGACTGTCAGCGGGCTGGAAACCATCGTTGATCTGTCCACAGATTGATTTTCCATCAGTACCGCATCATTTCGGATTTAATCGGAGTACATCGGAGTGTCCAAGACAAGCAAAAAAAACAAGTGTTACGGGGGAAACTCTGGGTGAAATGGAACTCTAAAGCTACCAATGTAGCATTTCAATCTATAACACTTGTATTTGGGCATTTTTTCTTCCTCAAAAGTACGCAAAGAGTGCTCGTGACATAAATGTCACATTGACACATCTCGGCATATTATGATGCTAACTCGTTGGCCGACTAACCGAACAGTGTTACCCACCTGTGACTGATTCTGCTCAGAAGCTCAGTTTCTGCTGAGAAACTGGTTTCTGTCGAGAAACCGCGCTGGTTTCTCGTTACCGAACGAGCCCTTAACCCCGTTTCCTTTACTTGGTCCGCTGGCTATGAGTATACCTGTCGAGTCTCGACTCTGAGACTTGAGGGAAGTCAAGTGTGGACCAGCACGGTGGCAACGTTTACAGGACTCTCGCCGAGAGTCGAGGAGAAGTCGATAGAGAAGGCGACGTCATCAGTGAGTCAGACGTCACATCGATAGTCACACTTTTTCTCGCCGTCAATGATTGGTCAATGATGGCGAGTGCAAGGTGCGTGGCAGCGCTAACGCCCCTTGCTCCTGACCATGACAACGACGCAGCTCCAACTGCAGCCCCCCGCATGAGACACCCGCTGCGGAACGCGACCCGAGTGTAGTAGGACAAGCACGAAGTCGACGATGTTAACGGCACTGTCGCTGCCGTCTATGGTGACACTCGTGGGGCCTGCCACGTCACCACAGCCAGCGCCAATCGCCAGCGCTGACGACGAGCGGCGGCGTCCCTACATACCTTCCACCCAGGCCCTGTGCAGACCGGTGGTGATAACGGACGACGTCGCAGCGAAGCTCGGCCCGCCGGTCCGCCGCCGCCGCTTTAACTGCTGCACGACGGACACGAGTGGAGACGGAGTATGGGCAAGGTGGTGAGTTGTCTGTGTAGCCCTTCGCTTATCGTCTAGCACCCTTCCATCCTATCATTATCCCTCTTTTCCCCCCTCCCCTCTTGTCCCTGTCAAATCTTTCTCGCTTGTCCCTTCAAGTTCCTCCCCCTCCCTAGTATTCGCCACGACTAACCGACCCCCAGCTCTGCAACAAATGTGGGCTCTTCGAGAGGACCCACTCCCGCCTCAGCCCCGAGCAGTTCCCCCACACACGCACTTTCCGTTTGTTTGACTTGTCCGCTGCGCCGACCCCGGCCCCGGCGAACGGGCGTGATGTCAGTGTAACATAGGACATATTGCGAATAATATGCAAGGTTCATTGGGTTCCAGATGCACCATGATACACTGAGAAAGGTATGACGAGATGATCTCTTCGTCATCTCACGATTGGCAGCCTGCATCATTTGTGAACGCGGGAAATGGAAAAGAAGCATGATACGAATCACTTCACGTTGCCTTTGCCCACCATCTCGATTCGCGTCTACGAGTAGTAAGTCCAGGAGCATACCATGGGTTGATTTGCCGCTGACATGAGAATCTGTAGGTATGCAAATGGATGAGTCTCCCTTCAAAACGATGCTCAATACGAACACTGTGCCCAGCGACGCGGAATGCGATGCCATCCACGCCTTTCTCGCGTCGCACACCACAAAACTCGCGGAGCTCGACGCGGAGACTGCCCGCTTGCGGAACTTGCTGAATACTGTCGTCCTGGAGCGCAATCACCTTCAAGACTTTGTTGATGCCCACAAGGCGCTTGTGTCGCCCATGCGACGGGTTCCTGAGGACATCTTACGCCTTGTATTCCTCAAGACGCTCCCGGAAGATCGTGGCGCGGCGATGCACCCGAGTGAGGGCCCGCTGTTGCTTTCGCGGGTGTGCAGATACTGGCGGGACCTGGCTCTGGCGACGCCGCAGCTGTGGTCGTCAATCCATATCGTTGTCCCACATCATTCGGAGTCGGACAGGGTACAACAAGTGGTGACAAGTCTCGCCAGGTGGCTTGAAAGGGGTGGCGCCGCGCCGCTGGACGTTTCGCTGCATCGGTCGCGGCCGCAGTGGCGTGGAGATTTACATGTGAGTGCGGAGCTACAGATGGATGCCGGTTCCGGGCCCGGACCGTTTCCACTGTTTTCTGCTCTTCTCGCCGCTTCTCCGCGCTGGCGTGACATGAAGCTGCTGCTTCACTATTTCAATGACCAACAGGCCTTGACAGTGCTCCAGGCGCACGATGTACCACAGCTTCGCACCATCGACCTCTTGCCAATCCACCATGTACAGCTCCCTTTCTTGGCCACACCCAGTCTGCGCCACCTGACTACCGAGGGCCGTATGCCACTGTTTCCCGAAAACATTGCATGGCACAATCTTGTGTCCCTGGATATCCAAGCGATGTACAGCATGGACCAACCTGCGCCTGCTGTGTTTCCATTCCCCTTCTTACCGCACTGCGTTTCGCTGGAGAGACTAGCCGTAAGTATTGCGGGCGGTAACCCGCTCATTCCTGGGGGCGTTGACGCCTTTGCGCTGCCGAGGTTGACTACCCTCGATATTGGCGTGTTTGATGTAAGCGTCAACGTGTCACCCGCCATCGCACTTATCAGTACCCCCATGCTGCACACTGTGGAAATCGCCCAGAGCCTATTCACTCCTGACATCCTACGCCATATGAGCCACATCCGCCACCTCGTGCTCTCGATCCATGACATGCCTACAGAGATGCTCACCACCGCCCTCCGGCTCGTCCCCGGGTTGGAGCGCCTCCGGCTGATCGGAGAGCCAACACGGCCTGCTGATCCACTGCCTGGCTTCGGCTTCCCCCACCTGAGGCAGGACCCCGATTATCTCGCCCAGCTCCTCCCGGGGCCGGAAGGCGCCGTCTGTCCCGCGCTGCGCCACCTTGAGTTAGCTAATGTTCGGTACGCCGCCGACACGCTTGTCATACGTCTCCTCCGCGCGCGCACGGTCGATGTCCTGCCTGGCGCGGGGATCGCGCGCTTGACCGAGTTCAGCTGCAACTTCTCGCGCGGGCCGGGCCTTGACATCCGGGCGGCGCTGGCAGACTGCTCGGGCCTCAAGCTGCGCACTACATACCACCATGTGCACCAGTGGCCTGGGTACTCGGCGCTTGAAGGGACAGAGCGCGACCCCGCCTTATCCGAGGGTTCTTTTAGTGTGGACGACCGTGACACTATATGGTGGGACATGCCGTGAGACAGGCTTTACTATCGCATTGTAGTAATTTTTGTCAATGATGAGCTTTTCAAACAAATCCCACATTACAGTGTGCTCTTTCGAGTTAACAAGGTTGGGTGAACATGTGGAAAAACATGTGATGTACATATCAGGATTGCATTAATGATTAGTGTAGACCATTATTATATTAAGCTTGATTATCACACTATATTATTATCATTATTGTCCTGTATACTTACCTGGTGGGCAAAATCAATACTATATTATCGTTCCATATTATATTAGATACAATACAGTAATATCGAAATATCCTCATAGTTATCCTTGCACATATAATAAGCCCAAGAATTCTGAATGAGCCACAATGATAGTTGGTTTGGCAGCGTCTTGATAGCTTGATAGTAAGGACATCCAAAACTGTTACAAAGACTTGAACAAAGAAATCATTTTGTGTGGATGTGAATTTCATTTCAAATTGCGGTCAACGTTTGCTATGTACAACCACCGGCCAGTCACGCATCGGTTAGGCGACCCGAACAACCACCTTGCCGACGTGATTCTGTGCCTGCATATACGCGAACGCATCCCGCGCCGCCGCCCATGCAAAGACTTTATCGACCACTGGCCGCGTAGTCTCGGTGTTGGCGGCCATCAGGCGGGTCATTGCTTTGAGCCTAGGTGAAGTCAGTGACCGGAGGAAAATGTGTGGAGGCGGTGACGCACTGTGCAACGCTACCTACGCTGAGCCCGCGTATCTTCAGTTGCTTCCAAATGCTCGGGCCGATGATATCAACGGCTGCCTCAGTGTCCTGCAAGAACCCATGTGAACATGCTGCTCTACCAACTTTTGGTTGACTGACCAGTCCGCCCAGAAAGCCGAGAATATCTATACTTCCCCCGAGCCTGGTGGCTGCAATCGATTTGCGGAGCGATGAGTTGCCGACGACCTCCAAAACACGGTCAACGCCGCGGCCGTTGGTCAGCCGGAGCACTTCTGCGTCCCAGTCGGGCGTCGTGGCATAGTTTATGGTGTGCCGTGCGCCGAGTTTCGTGGCCACAGCGAGCTTTGCGTCGGAGGAGGATATGACGATGGTTGTTGCACCTGAAGCAACGGCAAATTGCAGCCCGAATCTGAAGTTGCGTCAAAAGGGGCACACGCAATGATTGCTATGCACTGACATGGATACTCCGCCCGTCCCTTGTATCAGCAGCGTATCACCCGCCTTGACCTGCTCGAAGCCATCGATGAGCGCATTATACGCGGTCAGTGCCGCACACGGGAGTGTAGACGCTTCTTCGTAGGACAGATGGTCAGGAATAGCGACCAGGCCCTAGAAAGAACCATCATAGTGAGAATGTAAGCTTCGGCGGAGTCCCGACACGCACATGTGCAGGGAATACTCGATACTCCGCCAAAACACCATTGACAGCCGCCCCAAGGGTGTTGCCTATAATCTCTGGACTCATGGCATCCTCATGAAGTAGATCGGGGTAGAAGTTCGCCATCACACGGTCGCCGACTGCCCACTCTGCCACGTCTTCGCCGACAGACACGACGTCGCCTGCCATGTCGCTGCCCGGCACTACGTTGTCCAGGACACTATAAATGATTAAAAATTACGCAAAAGAGAGAAGAAAAACACTGGCGTACGGAGCGGGGTACGCGCCGTTGACGACGAGAAGATCACGATATTGCAGAGAGACAGCCCTGATTTTCACCAGGACCTCCGTAGATTTGGGTTTTGGAACCTGTACGTCCACAAGCTTTAGTCCTTCAACGGAGCCAGCCTGTCTCCCATCAGCATGATCATCCTGCACTGGCTAGGGAGTTGATGCGTACAGCATGGACCTCGTATTGGCGCGCCGTCTGGGGAATAGACATGTTCTCTCCAAGCGTGCTGCGTATGGATAAGTGGCTAATTGGCGTCCCGGTTTTTGGTCTTTCGCAGCTTGAAAGTGCGTACAGCTTTAATATCCACCTCTTTCCGGACGCGATCCGGCTTGGAAACACGACTTATCTCGCGGCGGGCGCTTTTGTCATGAATGCGCTGACCAAGGCGATGAGAAAGATGACAGCGTGGGTTTTCTTCAGGTTCTCGTGAAAGAGGGGAGGGAGAGGGAAGCGTCCAGCCGCACTCCTGTGCGATGCCGGAAACGGGCTCTACGATCGTGAGTCGTCGTCGTCGTCGGCCACGTCGAGTTGACGTCGTGGAAGAAAAAAACGTGGTGACGTGACGTGACGTCACATTGATTAATATTGCCGCATGATTAACGGCTTAGTCAGAATTTTGTTCTTGGCGGCAACCCCCACCTTCTCCTTCGCGCGTGGCGTTCGGATGTCCGCCTCACCTGGAACTTTTAGCTACACATTTGCGGCATAGCCTGGTCCTCGCTCCAGGCACGCGGCACGGAGTAGATATGTGGCTGCGCTAACGCAAATCCGATGAGGCGGTACGTTTTGTTTTTGCTTCCGCCTGTTGCTTTTCTACGGAGGTCGCTGTTTAGCGGCCAGCATCATGCCTGCACCTGACGCCCTCAAGAGGGTCCTGCAATACACAACGAGCGCAGCCGAGACGCTTCGTGCAACCTCCAATGGCGTAGGCGGCGGTCTTCCGTTCGTTGGGAGTGTGTGCAGCATTGTGCTGGCGCTCGTCCCGGTCATTCAGGTGAGTCTTCATCGAACAAAGGCCCTGTACACGAGTTAGAATCTCCCGCAGAATGTGAAGGCCCAGCGTCAACGCTCGTTGCAAATCACGGAGCGCATCCACCAGCTCCTCTGTGTGCTCTTGGCCGCATCGACAGCTCCGTCGCTTCGGCTGGGATCTATGAAGACGTTAGTGAATATGGGGCGGTGTACCCGGTGCGCTTCTGTGTCTTATCCCCCTGTGTATTCCAGAATATTTACAACGGATTCACAGGGTCTTACAGCAATTTCATGCATGTCTCCAGGCACAACAGGCCCGCGGAAGAATCCAGCGCTTGCTGAGGAACACTGAGATCGTCAGACAGCTTGACTCATGCGAGCGAGAGCTCAATGCAGTCATTGAGGCCCTCAAGGTATGTTCTTTCCCTCACCCCGGCTACATATGCCAATGAGATTTTAAACAGCTCGAAATGAGTGGAGCCCTCGCAGACGAAGTCGGGATTCTTTTGGATGATGTAGAGCTGCGACAGCACGAACTACTGGAACTATTGGCGTCACGGAGCGAGAGTGCGGCGTTGGAATCTGGGTCGATGGCGCGTTGTTTCTTGCTCTCATGACACCACATACTTATATGATCTTAGAACGCATCTAGGACTTTCCTGGATAGCGCACTGTCGCTTTCCCTTCTCCCCGCCTCGCCTCAAATATTTCACGGCCGCGACACGGAGCTGGCCTCCCTCGTCTCTCTTCTTCAGCCCCTTTCCGACGCCCCCGCACCGCGTATCGCGATCCTGGGTCCGGGTGGAATGGGCAAGACCGCGTTGGCTCTGACGCTTCTCCACCACCCCGCAATCGCCTCTGAATATTCAAACCCCAATCAGCGCCACTTTGTTTCATGCGAAGCGCTCTCGACCGCGCAAGACCTGGTCCGTGCAGTCGCGCAGCATGTCGGCGTGGAGGCTCCCGCGGCGCAGAACTCAGTGAAGGTCCTCATGGCAAAGCTGAAGGAAGGCGAGCGATGCATCATCGTGCTCGATAATCTGGAAACAGTCTGGGATTCTGACAGCGCTGGTGAGACGGACAATGTGGAAGACTTTCTGGCGCAATTAGCAGAGGTGGAGCATGTTGGGCTAGTGGTACGAGCGCGAATTCGTCTCGTAAATCCAGCTCAATTAGTGTCAGGTCACCATGCGAGGGGCGGAAAGACCCGGGAAGATCAAATGGACAAGACCGTTCCTGCCCGTCCTGGAACCTTTGACAGCAGAAGCAACTCGGGAGCTCTTTATGGACATCGCCGAGGCACCTGACCTTGAAGTAGACAACACAGCTCTTGACGAGCTTCTACTTCTGTCGGACAATCTCCCGCTTGCCGCGAGTCTTTTAGCCTCAGCCGCGTCTATTGAAGGATATGCAGCGACTCTGACTCGCTGGCGCCGGCGTGGCAACAACTCGAACACTGTTTTCAGTGAAGCTGAAGACCACAGACATAAAAACGCCAGCCTTGACATTTCAATTCACCTCTCGCTGTCCAGCCCACGCATGCGGTCTGCCCCCTATGCATGCGATCTCCTCTCGACACTCTCCCTCCTCCCGGATGGCATATCAGCAGAGGAGCTATATGCCACCGGTATCCACATTGTCGACTTGGGCCACCATGTCACGACCCTTCTGCGTTTATCCCTCATCTATATAGAGACTGTCCCGTCAGCGGGCGGAAATTATTCCAGCCAGCGAATCAAAACTCTGGCACCGATTCGCGAGTATATCCGGCGCACCCACCCGCCGCCACGGCTCCTCACCGATCCCCTGCTAGGCTACTTCCAGAACCTCCTTGCAATATCGAATTTCTACTCAGACCTTGCCGACGGCGGGCTAATCCCGCGTATTGCGTCGCACTTCGCCAACATACGAGAGCTGATGCTGTACGGTCTAAGCGTAGCCCGGCCAGAACAACTGTCGGCCATCGGGAATGCGATCTTGGACTTGAATTACATGTCATTTGTGATGCTGAAGGGCCCAACGCCGTTGCTGGAACGACTGCCGGGTATTGTAGAGGACACTAATGATCTGCGTATCCGTTTACGGCACAGCTGTCAATATATCGTCGCTCGTGCAGGGGCCGTCGACAATGTCAAGGCAAAAACTTTGATTGGGGAGAGTCTCGGGTATATCAAGACGGTACACTTTCCTGTGGATCAGAGTAGGTCTTGTCTGCTGGCAGAAATCCAATGTTAATGATAATCCTGCAGTTTTGATGTTGTACAACGCAATCACTGCCTACTACATGCCGCGGGACCTACCACAGTCCATCAGATACAACGCACTTGCGTCGGAACTCGTCGAGCGGACGCTGGACAGCAAGCAGAATATTCTGGTGCTTGACAGCAAGTACCATCTGCTCATACACGACCACGACGGGCAAGGCATCCTTGAGCTCGTGGAGCGGGAGCGGGCGTTCGGACGGACAGACGTCGTGTGCACACTGAAGGCGATCAACGGCCACCGCATGCTCGGCCATCTCGGGCGGGTCATCGAGTTGTGTGCGCAGGCACGTGAAGAAATTGCGCGCAGCGGGCTGGACAAGTCTGACCGAGCGCTCGCGATCCTGGACTTCAATGGCGACGCGCATCTTGGCCGGACCGAGTTCGCCGAGGCAGAGGTGTATTACACCGAGTTGCTCCGGCGGACGGATTTGTTGACGAGCGCCGGTTGGCATGTTCATGCACAATGCATGTTGGCGCTGATTGGCATCCGAACGGGTAAGGAAGAGGTCGACATTGCCCGTTATCTCGACCAGGCGGAGAAAGTATACCGGACCCGCGGTAGCTCGCGGGTGGTACAGGCCCTTTGGCTCAGAGCCGAGCTTGACCTTCACATCCGCCACGACCTATCGGCCGCACGAGCGGGTCTCCTGGCAACTGCCAGAAAAAGTCTTGGGATGTACACTGATATCCTGCTGCCATGTCTTGCCGCGCTTGGGGACGTGCGCCTAGGCCTATTCAATGACGAGACTGAAGCCTTCCGATGGGCGCTGGTGTATTTGGTTACAGCGAGGAAGACACGCGACCAGGTTGCGCTGCTATATGGCTTGCGGTGTCTAGCCGATGTTTTGCCGAGCTCAGCTCAGGAGACCTCGCAAACTTTGTTGCGCACTGCGATGGATGGCGCTAAAGGGATTGGAATTCGTCGGCTCGAGACAGACTGTGTTAAGAGATTGACAGTAGATGAGTGAGATGTGATAGGCGTCACGGTTGCGTATCATACTTATTTTTTGGAGAAAGTTTGACATTTTGTATCAAGTCCAAGGCTGTTCCTTAGTTGGTTCATGTTACAGTGTATGTATATCCGGAGAGCAATAGAAACAGGTAGTGCTGTCCACAATTATATTATGCTAGAATATATTTTGAATATATTCGAATAAATATGATTATATTATGCCCTTTGCATATTCAGACCCATTGAATATGAGTGATTATGAATATGAATATATTATGAATATAATATATTATACCTTGGCCATAATTAATTATATTCAAATACACCAGCAAGCCCTTCAGCCAGAGGTACTAGCTCTGTAGCAGGCTACTAGCAGCAGTAGCAACATCTTCAAACTCAGTCTTTACCATATCAATGGCTTTTGGCAGTAAATCAGGCCGGACAATATCCATATCCAGCCCTGACAGAAGGCTGAAGTTGACCTTTATATTGCTACCCTGGACTTTGATGATACTCTTCGCTGGTGAAGGTATCATACTTGACCTAGGCTAGAGTTTTGTTCAGCTTAATATCTTGTTGTAGAATATCCAGGCTATGTTACCAATCCTGGTTATGGCTGCAAAGAGCATCTCTGTAGGGCACCTGGTCTCCAGACTCCAGCATCAAGCATAGGATGACAGATATGCATGCCTCAATGACTGCAAAATTGGCCACAGAAACAACCATAACCAAGGAGTGGTTCAATAAACCATGAGATAAGGTGGATTATATGCACTATGTGCAGACTTGTGAAGCTTGAATATAATTGAATATATTCATAATATATTCATATTCTGAGCCCAATTATGATTATGAATATGAATACAATTATAATATGCTCCAGCAGAGAGAATATATTATGAATATGAATAAATTATGAAAATTTCGTATTCATAATCATAATTGGACAGCACTAGAAACAGGCTCAAAATATCAGCTGGTTTGAAAACCGGTTTGTAAATTACAAATTGACTCAAATGAGGTTTTTTTGAGTCTAGGCAAGAAATTTCGCTTGCCGAGTGGCTTTGCTGGTCTATTCACCACCTGCTTGCGTCCGACAAACCCTCCAAACTACAGCTACTGAAAAGTGGTATAACAGGATAATCAAAAGGTATGAGATCATATTCACATCAGATCATTTCAAGATAGTATGACTACCTGCCTACTAGTAAAACAATCATCTGAATCCATAAAGAACTGGTGGAGATATAGCTAGATTAAAATATCTGATGGATAATCATTAGATAGGGTGGATACACAAATAGGATTAAATTGATGAGAATATAGACTTTATTATTCAGGTATCCTTAGTAGTACTTCAATCAGCTGTGTAGCCTGTCTAGTTATTGAGATACTGTAGCAATTTATTCAATTTGGCAGTCACGTGTCACACCGGCCCTCCGGGGCCGAAATATTTTGGCGTGTCACGGGCCCACAGCCAGATGCTGAATGTCAAATGCCTATCAAAGCATCAAAAAAAATTTGACAGCCCTCCGGGCCGCTAAATAGGCCGAAAAATTTCGGCTGTCACACACATTGACAGGCAGTGCCGAAAATTTAATTTCGGCGCCGATGTCACACCATTTTAGGGCGCCGAATTGAATAAATCACTACAGTATCATCACATCAGTTATATATCAGCTAGTGATTGGCTTATGCTAGCATAACCATTCAGCTGTGACTATAGGTTGCTTAATGAAAGTTGTTCGTATAGACAAAACATACAACTTTGGTTTTGTGATGATCTGTGACATTCTCTGATGATTCTCCGGTTAAATGGCGAAAATTTCCTTTTTTGGAAATTTGTCACACTATGTGACCTGCGTGACTCAGGTGCTGAAGTCCCCCAGAGTGGTCAATTATTCATCATTATTCAGAGCATAATACACTGACATTACAATTTCTAAGAAAACCCTTTGTGACATCACATACCGGTGTTAGTTGTCAAGTCCGAGTCTTATACCTCTCAAATTATTCATCATTATTCATACTAGAATGGACTTAGACAAAAAACCAGTGTTAGAACTCAACATTATTCATCCTTATATCCAGGAATTATTCATTATTATGATAAACAATAAAAACACCGTGAACTTATCGGGTCCCATGCGGTGCAATCGACCTGATAACTCACGGTGGGGACTGGGACACACAGGTGGTTGAGGAGGAGCCAAACCTCTGAGTCACTTTTCCCATACCCACTGGCCGATGGCCTGAGACACAGACTGAGATTTTCTGGCTGTTGTGCAAGAACTTGAATTTAAAGAATTGCTGGCATACCTGGGTGAATTATCTGTAAGCTAGGCCATCATTTTTCCTTTCATGACCAATTAGACATATGTAATCTTTGTGGGATGACACAAAGACACCAGTTGAAAAAGGTGAGCCAGAGGCAAGCTTGCAGTAGGTACGTAGTCAGCCTAGGGACAGCCACACAGCCGGACCACGTGTTCTGGCACGCTGTAGGCTGTGCCCCTAGTGTGAGGGGAGATTGTACACCTGTCTCCCGCTGCTCCCCTCAGTCCTGTCCATGGCTGTAGATGAGATGATCATACATCTTGTATGGTCCAAGCACTACTCCTAGTAGTAATTAAACCATAAGTTCATCAATTTTCAATTTTATTCATACTGAGAGGGCTGAAAAAAAAATCCTTTTTGATTTCAGGTGAATTTGAACAGTATGTTTTTCTTGGCCCGATTAGACATTATGTAAGCTTGGATTCTAATCATTCATTATGTATAGTAGTCCTTCTAGCACTCCTCCCCATTCCTAGGGCTCCCAACTGTACCTGTTAAGTGCCGTGCAAGAACTGAATGTAAGTATCGGAAAGTCCGAAGCAAAACCGAATGGCTATCACAACACTATATTGGAGTGAGCAACTACACGTCTTGCAGGCCGAAAGCAAGTCTGAACAAATATGTGAACTCCAACGGATACGTTTGGAGAAGCAGAAGATGGTAAAGGCTTAGAACGCAGAGGGAATTGGATGAGAGTGGAGAGCGAGGCAAGAAATGTTAATAACGAAACTGAAGTACAGGAGTGTAGAGTACGAGTATTTATACTAAGTGGTAAGCATAAGGCATATGACCTCGCAGGGAGATCTGATGAGGTCCGCAGGACCTTCCTGCAGGATAAGTACAAAGTAAGGGGAACAAGAAGACATACACGAGGCAAAGGAAACAAGGCGAACGCCTAAAGGATATAAGTAAACAAACACAAGTCCAAATGGGTAAAGATCCGAGTTGATGATCAGAGGGTCCGTACGGGTCCGAGGGAGTCTGCATGCAGATTAACTGTTTGAAGGGAAACGCTTAGATACCTTCATCGCGTAAAAACCCTGTTGTGCTCCAAGGATAACCTCGGAGCGTACGAAGATGCACGGGATATGACAGTACCTGTAAATTTACGGGTATACAGCACCGTAAGTATGGTACGAGACCCGTACCGTAGTTGGGCCCAGCACTTGGTCTGACGGTACGGGCCCGGGATGCCGGCATGACCGATACAGGCATCAGACACCTGTAATCAGGCATTTCGCTGAATTAGGGCTCGTACGTTGTTGGTTCATATCTTTTGAAGGTAAGAAACCCAATTCTGGCAATTTTCGACACTTCAGCTGACCACTGATCTTTGATTTCGCTCGAAAGAAGCCCATTTTCGGCCGTTTCGGTGCGGTTTATGGTCATACGGGACCGTATCGTAACCATCTGTCAAGCCATGATATACTGTACGGGCTTCACCGTTCCGTCCAACGAAGACAGCAGTATTTCCGACGGCCGTCCCTATATACGGGGCGGTTGGGAGCCCTACCCGTTCCCCTGTTGCCCAAGTTGGGCTTGGTGTTGGGCCTGACATGTTGTTATCATTTGTTCCCTCTTTCTGAGGTGCAGGTTTCCTGTCATCATGTCCTGTGTGTTCTGGGCCCTTAGGGAGGACAGGCTGGGTCTTATCCATTTCAAGGAAAACCTTTAGGCTATAATAGGCTTATTAAGGTCTGTAATGCCATCATAGCTGGGTCTGCATGGTGCACATCCAATCAAATATGGGGTGTGTCATCTTATATTTGTGAGTTTAAGTTCAAGAGAAAAAAATCAGTGTGTATATTCCTTTTCAGCTTGAACATATTGAAGTCATAATAGCCCACAGTGTAATGCAGCACAATATTTGGATCCACATTCTCAACCACAGGATAGATACACTGCTCAGTCCAGTCAGTGAAAGTCCATAGATGCGAGTTAGCATTTAAGTCAGTTAAGCAAAAACACTTACTGTGCTTCTTTTGCTTGAAGCACAGAGATGCCAAAGAACACTGAGCTGCTGAAGTAACAAGTTATGGAATTCGGCTGCCTGGTTGTAATGCCAAGGAGTGGACCCAAAACCTGGGAGTCACTGCTCCACAAAATTGAGCGCAGCAACACCATAGCTAGGGCTCCGACCTTTCCATTTGTAAATATTTACAAATGGTAAAAAACATATAAATGACCATTTTATTTGTGAACTTGGTAGCGATGGCCAAGTCTGGTTCAGTCTGATTCTTGGCTATTTTTAATGCTGGACTGCTGGTTCAGTTCAAAATCGAATTTGGCCCAACAAAATGGCTGAACCTGGCTGAACTAAGGGCCAGGTTCAGTTCGGAAACGGCCTTTGCTGAACCTGAATGCTGAACACGGGTTCAGTCCAGTCCGGTTCAGGTTCGAACCAAAATCCTGAACCAAAGCTAGCCATCGGTAGAACTCAGGCAAATGTTTCCACTTCTAGCAGACTGAAATCAATATTAACAGTGCAGTTCAAGTATTTCCGAGCTTGGGAAACAGTGGTGTGGAATGCAGAGAGTCTCCGAACTCACGGTGTCTCCCACTCGCATGCATGACAGCATACATATCACAAAGGCAATAAACACAACTGAGCCACTTTGGATACAATTGCAAAGTTTGAGTTGCTCAGAAGGGTAAGTATTTGCCATCAGGGAAGAATGTTCGACAGTTGTCGAAGGAGCTAGGCGGCAAGAGCAAGAAAGGAGGGTCCTGGTGTAGAGACTGAGGCTTGAGCTGCATAGCAGAAGTACTGTACCAATCCAATCGTCAGTTTGGTGAACACATAACCTATTCAACTCGAAATGTAACAAGTTCATCAGTGATGGAATTACTATATATGGCAGCCGGCCGCAAATATGCCTTCTCAGGCTTCTCGCAACTGCGCAACCTTCTAGCGAGCCGGGTGGTCTGGGAAAGTCTGTGGAATCATGCGCATTGATCGGAGGCTCCGTGGACCGTGGAATTCGAAGGTCTTCGGTGCGAGGACACGGAACTGCCATAGCGTACATATACTTATGCAGGCCTGCAGGATACTAAGCAGGCTGCAGCATGGTGCACCGACCGACTGACCGAGTTAGCCATGCGTCAACCATGCGTCAATCTATCGACTTGGGGTTGGTTACGGTTGCCGGCTGCGAGGGAACGCAGATGATCCCGGATCAAAGACCATGCGGCGTGCGCATGCGCAGATCCATAAAGATGCTTCTTCCGGGGCCGTGGGAGACGGTGTGGTCTGTCCCGCTCAAACGTGCGTGAAGCAACACCCGAGCAGGCGCAGCGCCGACCCGTAGCAAACGGACGCAACAGCTGTGGGCCTGCAGGACGGGCCCGGGAGGAGTGGATGCCTCCGAAGCGCAATCGAGTCACAAAGCTACATATGCCGTATGCACACTTTGGTAGGTAGCTTTCTCTGTTACAAGCTCCCCCGCAGGATCAGGCGTCGGATCGCGCGCTGCTAAGCGAATTTGTCCAGGACCGAGCGGTTGCGGATCCGGACGGAAAAAGCTCCGTCGGCCCAATACAAAGCGGATCGCGTGCGAAGGCAGCAAACGCGCAGGGGCCGTCTTCGACGACGGGAGTGTCCTTTGGCGGCGGGCGCTGTCGCCGTGGCTCATAAAGAGGCAAGGTCGAGCCCTTCTGTCCTCCAGTTTTCTTCACCCTACCACTCCGAGCCGGCGAGTGCACCCTCTCCCTTCCTTCGCTTATATGCTGACTTGTGCGCAGCCCCAACCATGTACGCCGTCCGCACCTTCTTCGCCGTGCTCGCCCTCGCCCTCGCGGCGCGCGGCGAGATGCAGCTCGTCGCGAACCTCAACTCCGGCTGCCAGCGTGCGGTCAAGTTCATCTACCGCGAACCCGGCTCGATCCAGGAGTGCATCAACTTCGGTAGCAGCGCCATCCAAAGCGTCCAGCTGACCGACCTCCGCGGCGACGCGACGCTCTTCCGGGACTCCAACTGCAACGGCGGGAGCGCCCCTTTGGGCGGCGGCTCTGGCTGCGTAAGCGCGCCAAGCGGGTACGTCCTCTCGCCACCATCATTCTGACATGCCCACTGATAACTCTCCGTAGCGTTACTTGGCGCAGCGTCCGCCTCAGCGTCAGCAACCCCGATCCAGTCCTCTAGAAGTTGTAGATGTTTAATAAAAACTCCTATTGCATGTCTTCATTAATCTTATCGTGCGCTTGTTGGGGCCACTGACGCTGACGGCGATGACCGAGTGTGCTTCAAGGACGGACACGTATATGTGACCTGGCACCATCGCCGCGTTCGGTCGTGCAAACACGTTTGCGCGAGGAGAATTTCTCTTTGATGCGTGAGGCACTGGTGATTGCGTACATCGAATCCTTGGAGCCAGTGCTGCGACCACCTGTGGTTGACCAACGCGGCATGTCTGCGAAAGCCAACAGCTCATGCCAGGTACATATGAATACAGAAGACGACGCACCTGCCGTTCACTCGACCACCATCCGCCACCGGTGAGAGCCACTCGGTCAGCGTGCTGATCATGTTAAGTACCAGGTTGCGGTGGCGATGATGCTGCTGGCAAGCTGCATACTAATGGGGTCGTTGTCGGAGATGTTGGACAGGTCCCATGGCGGTGGTGGTGGAGCAGAGCCAAGACGCAGAGATTGAAATCACTGATCGTTTGTCACTTTGCTCATGTCATCGTGAGAACGGCGGCGCTCTGCCACGTCACTTGTCCAGCACCATCATGGACTCCGCGCTGACCGAAGCAGAAGAAGACTCCCTCCGGTTCTTGGTTCAACATGTAGGCGACACATCCTGTGCTATGTCAACTGACGCGAACGAGGACCCCACGCTCGCTACCATTGCCGATGGCCTCCGTATCGACATTGAGGACCACCCAAGCTATGTACGAGGAATGGTCTCCCTTATCGACACTGTAGCTGTCAACATGGCCATGGAACAGCTCATGAATCGCACATGTCTCGGCGTTCACCTTTTTGCGCTTGGGGGTTTTAATCTCGTGCGTCTTGATCTCTCCACGCTCAACCAGCTTTTGAACGTTTCGGTCTTACAGCTCTTCCTCGTTGTCTTCAACGACAAGACTGACGTTCTTGTTCGCTTCCGGATGCCCGATACCTGCAGCTACCTCGTGCGGACGTGGAAACTCCCATGGCAACCTGTCGATTCCATTCAGTGTGAGGTTGCTACATACTCTTTTCTGCGGCGCAGGACCCAGATTCCTGTGCCCGAAGTCTACGGTTGGAGCACAACAGGCTCTGAGCTTGGCGCACCCTACCTCGTCATGTCCCGTGTTTGTGTTCTTCCTGCCCGTCTGTGGAGGCGCAGTTTGTTTGCTAATCCCCAGTCAGATCCAGGGCGTCCCCTTATCCATGGAGGAGAGCCCAGTGTTCCTCGATCGAATTGCTGAACAGCTGGCGGGATTCGAGAATCAACTATGCGAAAATCCACTCCCTCAGATAGGTTCCCTCGTCGACGAGACGGGTACCGTTGGGCCCCTGGTCTGCGAGGGAAACGACCGCTTCGTCCCCGATCAGCGAGGTCCTTTCTCCACCTCCAAAGAGTTCATACTGGCATACATCGAGCATGAGCTGGCGGTTCTGCGTGACGAGGAGACGTGGTTGAAGATGCGTGCGGTCTTGGCTGAAAGGAATGGCGGAGTTGGCGCACTCCCAAAGGCCTATGCGACGGCCTGGTTGTCCTTGCTGCAGGCCGCGATTCTCCAAGTGCCGGACGGTCCCAGCCCAGAGATCTTTCGCCTCGCCCACGTCGATGTCTTCGAACAGAACATTATCCTTCGTGCTCCGGACGACCCGACAATCGTCGGTGTGATTGACTGGCAAGGAGCACGTGTCCTCCCGCGCTGGGACGAGCGATCCGGCTTGAATCTCACCATGCTCTCCAAAGATCTGCCGGAAGAAGAGGGAGTCCGCTTGCAGACCGTCTACGCCGGTGCGCAAGAACATCCGGATTCCGATTTGCCAGCCTTCCCGTGGCAGCCACTGTTTGTCTTTCTAGAGAGCAAACCCACATGGACCAGGGCTAGACGAAATGGCCGCGACAGCCGCGACATGGCCGCGACACAGCCGCTGCAGAGCCGCCGCAGGGCCGCGACATGGCCGCGACATGGCCGCAACGACTGTCACGCTCCATTGCAGTTGGCCGCAAAGCTTGCCAGTGGCCACACAAATGACAAATGGTAAGAGAATACTTGCTTCAGCTGTGTGGCTGCCAGGCAATGTCCCAGTGCCTCTTGTTTCATTGTTTGTGCGCATGCCAGTGCCAGCCTGACTCGGAGTGTGCTTCAGGTTGGCCACAGGGACATAGAATTATTTAGTAGGCCAAAGTATGGCATCAACCAGAGCAGGTTGCAATTTGCGCAGGATTTGTATGAGGTGCAATATTAAGAGATCATGATATCGCCACGCCGGCGCGCGGTAGCACATTAATAACGTGGCTACATTGAAATGCCAGTGTGGCCCAGACTTTCAGATTCATTAATGAATTGAATTTGTCGGACTTCCAGAGAGTGTTGCGGTGCGTGAAGGTTGATATTCGACAAAGCAGGAGCACGAAAGACTCAGGTCGCGGCTGTGTGACTGATGTAGCGGCCCCGGGCCTCTCACTGATGTTGTGACATGGCCGCAGCATGGCCGCGACCCGGCCGCTGCAGGGCCGCAACAAAATCTTGGATGGCTGCGGCCATGGAGGTACAGCCACATGAAGCTGGCCGCAGGGCCGCGACATGGCCGCCGTACCGCCGCGACATGTTAATACTTAAGTCATTTCTCTGCATCAAAACGAGTCGTAATTGATTCATTTCAGCACTACATGTCCCCTTGAACCAACCTACACTCAGCTCTATACTCTGCTGTGGCAGCCACGTCCGTACGGCCGACCTGCGGCCGTGTGGCTGTGCAATCGCGGCCCTGCGGCCGTGTCGCGGCCATTTAGCGTGGCCCCATGGACCATGGAGAAGGACGCGATGAAAAATTTCATACATGGGTGGAAGCTTCCCGAGAAAGTCGACCGACTGTTCTTTGGCCTGCGTACGCTGGCGTGATGTACTAGTAGAAGTAAATTGTACACATTGTAGGCATCCCGAACAGGATGAACAAATGAAGTAAAGCAAAGTGCTGTAAGCAGCAGCGAATGAGTAAGTGCGTTTGAGGCAATAAGTACGATCAACTGAGCAGCGGAGAAAAGTAAAAGTAAGTCGTTTGACTCGCCGCCATAGAAAGGACAGGACTGACGACCATGCAGGCCTCGTTGCAGCAGCCTCTTCCAAAACCCTCCAGGACACCCTCAATATCCTGCCCGAAACGTTATGGTTCCCCCGCACGCCACCCTCCGTCTTCTAACGTCCACGCCGCGCCGGCGTGTGTGTCCCTAACGACGGGCTGGAATCGGATGGAAGAAATAAGCGGGTCGAGGCCGACGCGCGTAATATAACAAAATACGTGCTGGGCAGGATATCTGTCGCGCTTGTCGAGAATGGATCAAGACTGTCGGCGCCGGCGCCGGACGCCCGGCGTGGCACATGACTGGACCGATTTTGAGGGCTGACGCGGATAGCAGTGGGTTGGGGACGGAGGGAGGCAAGGAAAGGTAGTCGGAGAAAAATAAGCGGCTGACTGTTTCCCATTGCAATACTCCAGATTTCCCGACAAGCCTCCGCTTCCCACCGCCGGGAACGAGGGACACCTATTTTGGGTATATCCGTCGTCGTCGGCAAGTGCTACACCAGCTCCTCGTCAATGTATGGCTGCGATACGCGTTGTCGGCACCGAGGGAAGCGCGGAGGAGGATGGTGGGCGGGGGCAAGCGCAGAGGAAAGAAGGAGCGGGGAAGGAGGTATGTTACTTTGCCATAAGACGAACGGGTATAAACTATACCAAGGACAGTGATTAGCGGTTGACCAGCGAGCGACATGACGAAGAACACGCACGATTGGAGCTAATGATTACAGCGGTTTAAAGTCGGCTTCTTCACCCCCCCAGCGCAACTCTTTCGTTCCTCTGCCTCCGTGAATCGTCTGTTATGCAACAGAGAAAAAAACGCCAAAAGACGATGAAACGCCAAGCTGCATATTCTCGTGAGTCGATTTTCGCTGGCAGAAGGCGAGAAACGGACCTGGCAGCAGCTTTCGCTCCTTCTACTACGGGAGAATCGATACTGGGACGGGTGGGAGTCCGACTTGAAGCGCGAGGGGGGAGGAAGAGAAATGGCGCAAAAAGGAAGCTAAAAGACGGAGTAAGACGCAAGACGCGGGCGGTAGCGCAAGAGAGAGACTCTAAACCCCGCTCTGACTCGTTTGCACCAGCAGCGCCCATCGCGAATGGATATGAATAAGCTGGGGAACGTCTTCTTGCTGGAGAGGGTGACCTCGCCCGCCAAACTTGAAGAAGAAGCGTGGAGTAGAGAACACGCATTTCGGGGTAGAGGGGGCATGAGTTGGGAGAGGATATGCGGCATCGGGCGTGATTGAGTGAGTGGGGGCTATCTAGAGAGGCGGCGTAAGTGACGACGATAGAGGGGGAGGAGATGTAGGATTTGAAGCACGCACCTAGGGCCAGCAGAAGAACAGCGCCCCGTCAAACACGCTGTTTCCCTTCCCTCCAGTATACCGGCATTGCGTGCGAGCTCGCGGAGAATCGAGTCAAGATGGCTGGTCCAGCGAATCAGCACGAGTTTTGTAAGTCATAGTATTCACGCGCACCAAGTGCATAAGCGCCGAATTCCTGCTTATGCCGGGGCTCAAACATTAGCATTCGTTGTGTCCGGGTTGAGAGAGATGGAATGGGAGAGGATGGCGAGACGCGACATGGCGGAGAAGACGAAGAAGAGTGGCTGTGACGTCACAACGGATTCCTCTCTTTCCTCCAGGCCTACCCGGGGAAATGAAGCTTCATATCTCTGACAGTTGTCAGAGCTGTCATGAAGCTTCGTTATTGGCAGCTTACCAGAGGTCCCCCAACAGCATATCAAACGTACCTTTTCCCTTACCCAAACCCTAACCAACAGGCGTATACGGGGTTTTTAAAAACATCTCTTGTAATTAGAATATTAACATTTTTAAAAAACATCAGTGATTTACAAGTCTTCCCCTCATTTTAATGAAATCCACGCTGTCAAACTCCATATCTTTCTTGGCACCTTGGCATCAACAATTTTTTTCGTCTTTTTTAGCCTTTCCCCTACTCAGTATTTTCCCCATACTTAAGGAATTTTCCACACGTCAGGTCTGGGGCCTTATAGCTACCACACTGCTCACCCTGACAAGGCTTTTCAACCTTTTCAACCTTTTTTTGATCTCTCATTTCCCTATGTAAAACCCGCCTTTTGGCAGGGGCATAAATTAAAGGCATTTTTTAAAAACATTAACACTGGTAATGAGAAGGCTTTTTTAAAAAAAACCCCATGTACAGGTGTAACCAAACCCTAACCAAACCCTAACCAACCCTACCCAAACACTAACCAACCTAACCTGACCCTAACCAAACCCTAACCAAGTAAAAAAACAGTATATTTTGAGTTTAAGTTGACTGACAGTTCTTGACAGTTCTCTGATCAATGAAGCTTCGCCCTGGGCATCAGCGATCACCAGCCGCGAAGCTTCATGACATCTTGGGAGATTGTCAGTGGTGATGCATCACTTCCCCGGCCTCTGGTGTTTCCTCCCACTGTCGGGCCGGGCCTAACGACCAAATACGCTGCATACACAGAACCCCGATCCAGTCCTCTAGAGCTTGTAGAGTTTGGTTAATATTTGGTTAATAAAAAACCTCGCTGTCTGAATTATCGTGCCATGGTGGGGTCCTGACGGCGATGGTGCGCAGCGCCACCGAAAGGAACACGTGCATCATTGATTAGAGCGTGATTGGGATGACGTCACACATTGCTTCTTTCCTCTCACCCCCACGCACGCTTGCACACCCCGAATACTGGAACGCGAAAGATGCCTTCGGACACACCGAAGGTCGACGATGCTGGTGTAACACCAACGCTTGAGTCGAGCAGTTCAGATGGGAAGGATGTTACGATGGACGAGGCGGAGACACCAAGTGTCACGGCGTCCAAAAGCTCTGCGGGAATTCCTGGGTACTTCGGTGCGTGCGCAGTAACCTCCCACCCCATGCCGTAGCCTAATGGCTCCCATTAGGCCGCAAGCCTTTCAACCATCGCCTGGGCCTCTCGACCTCCACTTCTGAGCGCGACAAGGATAGGGACGAGACGGCGAGCACGACGACGAACGTCAGCAATCGCGCCGTCGCGGGTAGCGTCGCACCATCTCCACCTTACTCCCCAATGGAAGAGTCGCCATCGACGTCCGCGCAGACCGCCGATGCGCACCGTACACCTAAGCCCAACGTGCCGGATATGTTCCACGACACGAGTCACGCGGACGCGGAAATCGCGGCGCCACCACAGATCCATCTTGAGCCGCGGACGCACCCGCTGGGGCGCGACGGCGCGCAGGTGGAGGTGGGCGGAGTCTCGACGCTGACGGCGGCGCGCGAGACGGTGCCGCTCAGCGAGGCGGCGCTGAGAGAATTGGATCGCGAAGTCGAAGAGGAGGGCTCGGAGGACGGCGAAGATGAACGCTTGCGGGAATATCTGGAGGGCGAGGCGGCCGGCAATCGGGATGGCGGCGAGCCTGGCAACAGAGTTACGAGGAAGATAAAGGGCGGGGTGAAGGTCCTCGCTGGCAAGATGAAGAACGATGAGGATGTGGAGAAGCAGGGGAAAACTTTGTTGAGCTGAACGAATAAATAGGCATCGACAATGAAAAGTCGTGGTGTAAACGCCGCTGCATAACACATGACGACGACCATCATCGTGCGTGTCCCGCGAGATCGGTGCCAACGTCCATGTCCTCTTTCTCAATTCTCGTCGCCTTGTCTATGCACACCATTTTAGGCGTGTCCTGAGTTGTATGGTGCCACAGTAGACAACGGTCATAAATCACAATAGATGGAACATGTAAGAATCCACAAACGTCGACAGCATCCATTTTCAAGCTGAAGTTGTTCGTCGGATCTCAGCAACGCAATGAAACCGGAACCATCCCTCAAAATCCTGATCGCAAACATATACCGCATCATGATCAGTGGCCATGCTAGCGATAGACAGAGAGCACTGGGCCGCATGGCTGGCATTCCACTCCGCCCGTACGCGTAGCGTTTCCGCGTCGTACGCACCAACCTCCTTTGCGAAATCTTCCTTCGCTGCGACGCTGTGGTTGGTGAAAGGAAATGACGTGCGTCACGCGATCACGCCGCAGAAAATTTGCACAAGCAGATTGAGCGTTCGAGTCCTGGCCGAGGACTTATATTTGTTGCTTCTCTCTAGCGATCGGAGATACTGTGGATGGGCAAGGCTGCACTTTGTTACATGCCGGAAACTGTCAATTAAATTTTAGAACACCCAGGAATCTCAAAGTCACGATCACCCACAGTATCTCGTAATGAGATTAAGTAATCTTCCGGGCTTACCTTTGACCGCCACGTCGGCGTCCCCAAGCGCGTGTACTGCACACTCCTCCCTAGATTTCGATGAGTTAGGTGCGCGATAGGTTATTCAAGCAAAGACAAAACGATTTCATTACTATTCTATAGTTGCCCACTACTTTCTGACTCCTCCTCGACCAGCTCTACGAGTGGCTCTCCGACGCGCTCCGCGTCTTCGGGCAGCAGATCCCACCGATACGGCAACGGGTCATTCCGCTTAATCTCCACCATCTCCGAAATAGCTTCGTCCTCTACACCGACGACAATGCCCGGGACGCGCACGCACAAGCTGTTGTCCATCTCGAGGACACCCATCGCCATCTCGGCCGTGCCGACCCAGCAGTCGATTAGGACAAGGATCCACAATGCTGGCATCCCTCCGAAGACCTGTGCCGTGTCAGACGAGTGGGCGGGGAGACACATGCCCCTGATTTTGAGATGTGTGAGGGTGGGGAATAACGGCGTGGCGCTCGGAGCGGAAAGGATGGTGAGAAAGTCGGACCAGGCGGGGGAAGAGAGGTCCCAGTCGTTGAGCGAAAGTGCCGTGAGGTGGGATGGCGCGGTGAGCAGCGCGAGGAAGAAGGCCTGGGTTGTCGAGTCAAGGTCCGCGCGTAGTTCGGTCAGGACGAGGAAAGCGATGGGTGAGTCTCGTTTGTTGAATTTGGACTCGTCGATGACGCATTCGGGTATCGTCAGGTTGGAGATGCAGAGGCATGAAGGCGTCGTCAACATCCACTCGTTCAGCCCATCTTCGTTCGGGTTCAGCAGCTCGCTGGCGCTTTTGTGTCCGTAAAGGCGCAGGGTGACGCCGGCCCTTCCGGCCTGGGCAATAGGGACACCTCCAAGCGTCACGCCGTTCAGCAAGATTTTTTGCAGCCGCGGGTGGTTTGGGGGAATTGGGAAACAAACAGGAAACATGCGCTCCACCTCCAGCTCCGAGTCACGCGCATAGTGGGTGGGCACGACATCCAGCTCCAATGCGACCAACGCGCCCAACCGCTCGCCATAGAAGAATGCCGAGATGGTCATGAATATCGGGTATGGAGCGATAATGCATAGGCACTGGACGCGCCGGAGATGGGGGCGGACAACTTCAAGCAATGCAGTCACCCGGGATGTCCATGACTCGCGCGTCTTGCAAGCTGCGCCGAAGTCGAGCGCGAGCGAGAGGTGCTTGGTGCGCGACCGCGCCAGAAGATCGCTTACCACGTCTAAGTGGCGAGTGTCGCGGGGGTGGAGGACAGGGGAGTGCCATAGGTCGGCGTACGCGAGGGTGGCATCGCGCCAGGAGCGGGAAACGTGTGACAGTGCAGTGACGGCGCGCCACTCGGGGTCGATCGAGGAGGGAAGGGTGAGGTGGATGATGTGAGCGATAAGTTCGAGGGGGAGGCGTTGCATCGGGGGCAGCTTGGTCCGAGGAGTGAAGGGGGAAACAGGCGGAGGGCCGTCTGTGTTTATATGGCGGTCCAACTTGGTCAAAGCGACACATCTATTCAAAGCGCGCATCAGTGCGCTTTGATGCGGCCTTTGTCGAACTTTACCTCGTGTGGCTGTTTAGCTTCGAATTTCATGCTTGGATTCAGGACGATACTGGAGAGCCCCGGCCACGATCAATTATAAATTCTCATCAATCGAGGGTGCTTCAAAGATAAGAATTGGATGGTTTAAGGTAGATAAATGAACGCGTGATTCCACTTCTGCAGTACCTACCACCTTATCACCACTGTACACGCTTCTACGGCTGCAAGGTCCGAAGCTCCCACCGTGTTCGGAGTCGTGGCAAATTTGATCAGCTTGACATCTTCCCAGATCGAAGCTCGACGACCTCGAGGAGGCCTCATGGCGGACGAAAGGTGGGTTATAAGGGGCGGAAACTGAGCGGATTCAAGTTCTTCCCACCCTCTCCGTCTTCCCCCCATGTCATTCACCAAGGACGGCGCGGACACCTGGACATTCAACGGCGTGCAGTCGACCTTCAACGTCAGCTTCCCCACGACCCTGACGGTGGAAAACTCCAGCGGGACGACGGAGATCTGCGGCTGGGGCTGGCGCTTCACCTGGCAGTTCCGCGCGCGGGACAACAACGAGTCGCTTGCCCTCCGCGTCTACTTTGATCCACACCTGCAGGCGACGGCCCGCCTGGGCCGTATCTCGTTCCACGCCTCTGGGACGCGGGTGGCTCCGCTTGCCAGCATAGAGATCCGATCTGGGATCGACCTGCCTGCCCAAACTATCCCCTTGGTTGGTGTCTGGGTTCCGCCCAAGAAGCACAGGGCGGGTTTACTAGAGGCAACTGTCAGAGTCACAGTGGCCTTTGACCATAAACTTGTTTCACTCCCGTCTTCCGCTGCCCCCCCCTCAGGCTGAGGTGGATGCACTGGTACCCACAGCGCCGGCAGCAAAAAACCCGTCCAAACAGATTTCTGCGCTCTTAGCCAACACAATCCACGGCAGAGAACTGATCGACGTCAAGTTCTATGCCTACAACAGAGTCGGGAAGGGCCGTGTCTCGCAGCCACTCCCCCTGTTCGCTAGTCTCACCCTCATGAAGGGAGTCTCAGTGCAACTGGATGATTGTGGGAGTTCATACCTTGCTGACCTTGCGTGTATGCTGAAAGTTTTGATTGCAGTTATCAAGGGTTTCTCAAACAGTGCATTTGCCGAAGCAGCAGTGCTGCCAATTGACGAAGACCAGCCCCCTGCTGCAACGTTCACAGAGTATGACTACATGTCAGACAGTGATCTGGATGAAGAGGAGGAGATTTCTCCAATCAAGTCCGACAGTCAAGATTCTAAATTTGAAGGTCAAAGATTTAAAATTTCTATCATGCTTTTAGTTCTGATATATGATGGATATAGCGGCTGAGCCCGACAAGGCTAGTGCTGTAGAGAAGGGGAAGCAGCGACAGCCCATCATCAACCATATCCGTGGCCGAATGGGACACCGAGTCGAAATCAAGGGATATGCTTATAAGACGTGAATTGCCTAGCTTGGCCCTGGCTTATTTTCTGAACTACACTTGCAGATGGAAGGCACTTCTGTACTACTTGTACACCAACCAGATCTCTTTTAGCAACATTGGAGAAGGCACCGGGGACAACTTGAAGGATGAAATTCCTCAATGCTCCCCAAAATCAATGTATAAGCTTGCAGATGAGGTTTATCCGTGGCACCTCTCAAATGATAACTACTGACCTCACTTTAGTATGGGCTGGATGCGCTCAAGATGCTGGCCAAGAATTCCATCAAATCTCAGCTTTCCAAGCAGAACATCGTGCATGAAATATTCTCAAACTTTACATCCCTGTAGGTTGTAGCTGCCACAGATTGCAGATAACTGATCAAGACATCTGGTACAGGTTCGATGAGATCAAGAAGATGGAACTTGACTTCTTGGTAGCTCGGCTGCAGGACAGAACTGTTCGAAGGAACCTTACCCACACATTGGATGGTATTCAAGGTGGTAATATATTGAAGGATGTCATCGTGGCATTGGCAGACAAGGACAAACATGAGGTAGTCAGGGAAAGAAATCCTTTCGATCCTTTTACCATTCCTGGCAAAGTTTAGCTCTATTGAAAATACCATATATAACCCCAACATCACAATTAAGCAATTTGTTGTTTGAGATTTAGAACTTGCCTGTCATGCTACTAATATGAAAGGGTTTTTTTTAGCATTTTGGCATCTTAAAATTTCTGTAAATCATTTATACCCCTTCTTCAAGGCTCTGAAAATTGCTAATCAAAGGGCAAACCAACTTATTTCACAGCTGCGATCTAAAAATGCCAAGGTGGGAAAGGTTAAAGGGAAGGGGTAAAGTTTTGTATCAAGGGCAAGAGCTTGGCGGACGGAGGCCCCTGTGTGTTCAGAAAGAGTAAGCTCTAAGATGAGATTGCTGTCATTGGCAATACCATGAGGAATATATGGAATGGTGTTTCCAAGAGCTTTTGCCTGTTGCTCATTAGTTGATGGGTATCTTTCAGGGTATCCAGCTGGCTAATGACATTGTTGGATAGGGATCAGCACCGGACCGTACCATATGGCATACGGTTACAGTACGGTGCCACCGTACCCGTATCCGTACCAGGGTTCTAGGTCCCTGGGTACGGTACGGCCCGGTACGGCCTCCATCACCCGTACTATGGCCTGTATACGGGCTACGGTTAATTGCTTGCTGAGACACCTCAGTAAGTCATCAATAGATGTCGGCATGGGGATCGGCTTCTGCATTGTGGAGTTTGGTGTCGAGA